CCGTCCCGCTGCGGTTGCGGGGGTCAGCCCTTGTACGCAGCTCAGGGATCCGACCCCAGGTGCCCGCCGGCTCCGGCCGCTTGCAGGCGACCACAAGCAGGAGCGATTTCGCTGTAGACATTACCAACGACCGAAGGCAATAGCATGACCTAGGAACTATTTTCCTTTGCATCTTTTCCCTTCATCCATCATCAGTTGTTACCCACCCATTTCCCTCTCGCTACAGAACAGGCACGTTACGCTGATGCCGTTTGATGTATAAATGTGTATATTTTGTATATAAAATAATGCACAGAGAGGTTGATTTTTTTTTTTATCTCGTCGGGTATCTGGGCAGCCGTGACGGTGGGGGACGGCGGGGACAGACGGGAGCGGCACTTTGGACGCGTGACGGACCAAACCCTCCGGCAGCGACGCTGCATCTCCCCACTGGGCCGATCCCTGGAGGTGCCCGGTCCGACATCTGCGATGAGTTTTGCTGTTAGATCCAGTGTCTGAGGCTTGGGTCAACTTCTACCCGTGCTTAGGTGAGCAGAAGAGAAAAAGCTTTTCTGGAGTCAGTGCTTCGAAAGTGAAAGGAGAGCAAGCGGACCTGTTCAATGAATAACCATGGAAATCAACAGGATGTGTGAGCTTCCTCCAGCAGGCATGGCTCACAGCTCTGGGCTCACGTCCAAGAGCAGATCTCTTCTGAAACTGGTTTCGGTTTTGATCTCTGCCTGACATGGGCTCCGGTACAACGAGTTACGGTGTCGTCAAGCGGAGAAAACACCATCTGATTTACAAGAGCACCGTGCTACTCGCACCATTGCTACTGTGATGGCTGGGAAATAAATGTAACCCAGGACAACTTCTTAATGGAAGAGAAGAGAAAAAAAAAGAAAGCATTAAGGCTTTGCTTTTTTTTTTTTTCCCATTACAAATTTAATTTCAGCATTAAAAACTCTCTCCCGTTTGTCTCTGAATTAGACTCAAACCAAACCAAAGCAGTTCTTCAAACAGAGTCCTCTCTCCTTCCCTTATTATTTCCTGCAGGGAGAACAGAAACAGAGTCTGGGGAAACTCCTCTGCTGCAAGTAAGGAAGAGTAATTCAGCTGGCAGAGATGAACAGCTTCCTGCCAGACCTGATAAGTGACATTTTCCATATTAAAATAGGCTCCAGGAAAAAGTCCATTCTCTAGGGATAGTGTTCGTTTTCAGTGTGGCATTTCCTCTTCTTCTGGTGGCTCAGAGGGATTTCACCAAGGCACGACGTGACGGAATAAGCAAGGAAATCCTGGCAGTTTGGTCACTAGAGGTGTTTTCCTGGAAATAACAGAGGGGTAATGCTCAAAAAACCAAGCTGTCCTGTCCGATACAGTTTATATATAGTGCATATTCTGCGCAGCGGTGCATGCCGTGCTGACCAGCTCTTGGAGGGCCAGGCAGGGCTGGAGAAAAGGTCTCGCACCTTGCAAAGAGCCTGGAGGGTTCCTCTCAGAGCTGGTATGAAATCCTGCTCTGATATCCACCTGATTTTGGAGGTGGGATGTAACAACAGGCCTCTTCCCACATCCAGGATGGCTCCGGGGCGCAGCGAGGGCTCTGGGGAGCTGGAATGTTTCGTTAGAACTGGATGGGCTGTTCCTGAAGCGCTGGGAAAAGGGTCAGTGGTGTCAACGAGCCAAAGCGCTGCTGCGTGCAAGCGTGGCAAAGGTAACCACCTGCATCCCTGCTGCCATTGCTCTGTGGGAGAAAGAGGAGATGTGAGAGGAGAGGAAGGGCTGGAGGAAGGCTTCCAACCTTGGTTGCAATCTCCTCACATTCAGGGAAGAGAGCAACGATGCGCCCAAAGCATCTCCTGCCACCTCCCTGTGCAGGTCTTTGCTGGTGAAGGACGAGGCTTTGCCCATCTCAGCCCCTGCGATGGCTCGGAGCCATCTGCTCTCTCTGGTTGCGGACATGGAGCTCCACTGGATTTACTGCGTGCTTGCAAGGGAAACTTGGCCTTCACCGCACCTTCTGGGCAAGGCTTAACCCCAGAAGGTGGGATCGAAGCCAAAACTGGACCCAAAAGTCAGATGGTCACTTCCAGCTGGCTGGCAGGGGCGAGTGGAGCTCTGCCAACCCCAGATGGATGTTCAATGGCCTTGGCAGAGGCTCCAAGAGTCAGGAATGGGATCTGACACAACAAAACCCCAAACCCAGCCCCACGTGAGACCACAATTCATCTCAGAAGAGAGGTCAAGGCTTGAGCGGATCTGTGGGAACTGCACCACCACCCTGAACCATGCGGTCAGGAGGTCACCCCAATACGAGTCGGGGTTGCGAGCAGAAGCAAAGGGCCGGGGAACCTATGGGCGTGAGATCCAGCTACAGGACGTTTCCTGCTCGCTCCCACTGAAGCTTAGCACTGAGGTTGTCCTCCCCCAGCTCAGAGCAATCACAGAGCGCAGCCGCCCCCCAAGCCAACGGAGCCGCTTGTGAAGACTCCCGATCCAAAAACGTGACCTCAAAGGCCCAGGGAGGAGACGTACGTGAGTCAAAGGGAGCTTCTTCACAACCAGCCCGGAGCCGCACTGCAATGTTTTTGTACACTGTGGCATAGAACAAGTGATGGCGGCTCCGTCCTTCGTAGCCTCGCTCATCAGCTCCACCCGAAGGAAATGCTCCTAAGGAAAAAAGGGAACAACACTCGGAAGGAGCTGAGATACTGGAACAAGTTGTTTCATTTAATTTTTTTAACCCCCTGGAAAGTGATTTGCGACATGATTTTTTTTTTTTTTTTTAAAAAGAAAACAAACAACCTTCCCCTCAAAACACCCAAATCCCTGGTGACAACAAAAATCAAGCAGAAGCCAGCAGCAGCTCATAAAGAAGTGAAATAAGAGCTGGCAACCGCTGCAAACAGAGAAAAGGGAACCTACACGCTTGCACTGAGATAAGAAGTCAGGATCTGTAGTAGACAACACCCAAATGCAAGGACTGTGGAAAAAACCCACTGCAAACTTGTGTCTTGCTACTGAAATCATGGTGCAGAGCAGCGTAAACTGAGGGAAAAATGTGACCTCAGCTATTCGGGTCTATAACAGCAAAAGCCAGGGCATAGTCCACGCTCAGCATGAATCTTACGATAATTTTCTTTTATGCTTCTCCACCCTGAACATAATAATCAGAGATGAACAGACTTTATGGGTAGTATGTGCTGCCTCTCTCAGCACTTCTTTAAATCAGCAGCAGCCCATCCTGACCGAGATGTCATTGCTTGCAGAGCTGCCTCGAGATCCCAAATCCTAACGAAACAGCGGCGCCTCCAGGAGTTTGCCCTCCCCAGCCACCTGCTCTGCCTCTGGAGCTCTCGCGCATCAGCTGAGGAACTGCCGTGGCTGCTCAGCCAGGTTGCGCGTGGTGATGCCTTGCTTTGAGGCAGCGTGCTATGAAGCGCAGGTATCAAGGCCCTAAATTGCCCCGCTTGAGAATTTGCTTACCTTGGAAAGGTTTCACTTACCCCAGCCAATGCTAAAAGATGTTCCAGGGACTTTGACATCAGTAAATACTTCTTTGCGCGTGTCACTGCTACATAGAGCAGGTTCCACTCATCCTCTGGATACATGCCTAGGTTGGAGAAAAGAATCATCAGTATCACAGAATCCCACTCTGGTTGGGGTTGGCAGGGGACCTCTGGAGATCATCTCGTCCAACCCCCTGCTAAAGCAGGATCACCCAGAGCAGGTCGCACAGGATCACGTCCAGGCGGGTTTGGAATCTCTCCAGAGAAGGAGACTCCACAACCTCTCTGGGCAGCCTGCCCCAGGGCTCGGTG